TTGCAGAGACCCCTCCATGTGGCATGGGGCAGTGGGGGGCAGCGGGGATTGCCCCTCGCCTGGCAGAAGCTGGTGAGTGGAGGCTTTTTCTTTTCAAAGAGCCGGGAGTTTTGGCTGGGCAGGGAAGCCATTAAAAGCCAGTGGGGGAATGAGGCCTGTGTGATTTGGAGATTCAGCTGATTTGGCAGCAGCCATATCTCTGAATCAGATTTGGCTAAATCAATTAGGGACAATGATTCAAATCATCAAATCGAATCACTGTCCCCTGAATTGGCTGAATCCAAATCCAAAGTGACTACTAGCAGCTTCGCACAGACCAACTATTCAGTTGGTCTGCTAAAACACACCAGATTAGATTGACCCAAAGGAAAGGATGTTGTCTGCCAGTGCCATATCCTTAGAGCAAAACCCCTAGCACCTGACTGGAAGGATGCAGGGTCGTGGGCACATCTAAGCCCCAGGGCTGGGGCTGGCAGGGAGAGTTCTTTGGCAGCTGCTGGAGAAGAAGCTTCTGTAGGAAAAGGAAAGAAAGGCTTTAGGCTGTGACAGTTTGGCTGCCTGAGATGCTGCTAGTGCTACTGTGCTGCTTACTGTGCTGCTTACCTGCTGTCATTTAAATTGGTGGACTGAACTGAGGCTGTAGGGGTGGAGCAGAACTCATGGGGACACACTACCATGTCATGTAGAGGCCCCAGAGCCAGTGAGGGCATGCCTTAACACACACACAGTGTCACCCATGTCATGAGTTTTGCTTGCCAGCAGCCTGAGGTGCAGTTTCCCAGAAACCCTTGCACCTATCTCCTTGAAAGCTGGCAGGCTCCATGGCCTCAGCAGGGCCTAGCATGCCTGCATTTTTCACCCCGCTGCACCTTAACGCTCACACAGTGTCAGCCTTGTCACAGTTTTGCTTGTCAACTACCTGAGATGCAGTTTCACAGAAACCCCTGCACTTATCTTCTTGAAACTTGGCAGGCTTCATGACTTCATAAGGGGATACCATCCCTGCAATTTTTGTCTGAATCAGGCAAGAAATGAGAAAGTTATAGGCAGTTGTGTGCTTCCCCATTATAGCCTATGGATGAAACATCGAAACAGCGTCAGAACAGCAAAACAGTTTCAACAAAACGTAACGGAACAGGGGTTTCAAAACTAAATAAAACACAAAACAAAATACTGCCCCACTGAAATGTCAAAATGGAAGTTGAAATGGAACGGTACTGTTTTGCATAGCCCTAGTAGCCCTTCTATTTGTTGGAAGTTTGGACATGCAAGTATGCATGCACACAGTGCATAGAAACTGAGCGTATATAGTAGGTTATTCACTGGCTGTACAGAGATGCAGTAACATACAAGTTGCCTATGGGCACATGCAAGTGCTGGGGTGCGCGGCACAACCCCTTGCTGTCACAACTGCCCCTGCTGCAGCTGGGTCTAGCTGTGTTGCAGCCCCACACCCTGCTGTTGGATCAGAAATCCTGTTGCCAACGCCACCCCCACTGCTCCTGGGCCCTGGATCCATCCAGGTTGCAGCCCTGTGCCCTGCACCCTGGTGTTGGTAAAGAAACCTGGGTGGTGTGGCCTCCAATGCCCCCCTGATGCCTCACCTGTGCATGTGCCACACACCGGAGTCCATGGTATGAAAATGTCAGCAAACCAAAACCTACAATTAGTAAATGTTGGACAGAGGAAGAGGACCCTCCCAGGTTCTGATTTCAATAGCTGACTGGTTAGGATACTTTTCTAGGAAGTCAGAACCTGAGGTTTGGGCCCACATTGTCCAAAGGGTGTTTAAACCTGCCTCTCTCAAACTTTCTACTGTGGTGCTCTAATCACAACAGCACAGGTCAGGTATTATTCAGTATTCCAGTATTATCCAAGTAAGAGAGAAGAGTTTTGAGGACAGGAGAAAGCAAGCAAGCCAGATGCGCTGTGATTCAATGGGGTGGGTGCTACCCTCAAAAAGAGGTGAGTCTGGGTTCTAACTTTATGCCTTCCTCCTTTAGGCACAAACTTCCCCACTGCATAGACACAGAAAACCAACTGATTAGATACTCTTCATTAATGAGAATCTCTGCCAAAATATTTTCAATATTGTTAAGTAAAGTCTATTCCTTTATTAATTAGATTATATTTAATAAATTTAATGCTTAGGTCTTTTTGCAGTCTGTTAAAACAGACTTAATTGTATATGAGTTTGTTGTGTTTTTTGTTTTTTTTTAAAGGAAACAGGGTTTGTCTTCCTGGAATAGTATACTGGCAATTTTAATAATAATCACAACTAAGTTAACACTGCAATGACAAGCATGTTCTGCCTTATCTAATTTTCCTCCTATTTTTCTTTCTCTTGTAGGGGTTCCTTGTAGCAGTTTTATATTGCTTTGCTAATGGAGAGGTAAGACAGGCATTATATACGAGGACATGTTTCAAGTTGATTTGTGCAAAACATTTGTGGGAATAAGCAGAATGAAAATAACAAAAGTAATACCAGTATTCGTTATTTAGGAATTCCTGAATGCATTCTCCTATATGTAAAAATATATCAATTGCTTTGTTGTGAGTGGAAAGCCTCTGTGAAGCAGGGCTTACATTGCTTTGAGATAGAGAGGGTTAATGATGAACTAGAGAAGAGGTGTCATAGGCAGGCAAGACAAAACGGTACTCAGCATGCCAGTGCAAGGTCAATCAAGTTTGTATTTGCAATTTGCCAGAGGGTCTGCTTGTTGTACATCAGACTCAGCCGCTCAAGAAGCTGTGGTAGTACCCAGTAACCCACCAAAGGCATGATGGTCCATGGTCTCCCGAGGCCAATGGTTGCCAATGATGATGATAATGATATTAAAAATAATTGCTTCTAATATAGAGAAGATTAAGGGTGGCATTCTGTTCCATTCCT